TGATTCATTTGTCTTTTCATTCTGCGTATAGTGTTGAAAAGTTATTGATTTAAAAGACCATATCGTAATTAATGTCTTGAAAATGAAGATTCAAAGCCCCGAACATACATGTACGGCCAATGATTACACAAACTGAAACCAAACATCCATTTTCTTGTAAGAAATTATTAAAACAGTTATTAACATATATCTTGCCTTTAATAAATAAATTCCTTTAATTAAAAACTGCTGCCAATATATACAGCGAAATGTATACATCGAAATGTATATAATTTGAACTTGAAAAATCAAGAATGTTCGAGAATTCTCCTTGTCAGTAAAGACAATGATCTTATAAACTCTATGGCTTTTTGTTATAAATCGAGTTTTCATCTTTCTCCACATAAATTCGAGTATGTTAAAGTTTTGGATGGCCAATCAGTAAGAAGCTTCTTTGTTACAAACGATTCATGGCAAGGTGATTCCTAGACGTCGGAATATTTCACCTTTTCATAAAATTAGTAACACGTGGGACTATAAGAATGTAAAAGATTTTTCGAATAAAGTTTTCACCATTTTTATCAAGATCTTCCGTTGCTTTTGATTTAGCCCTAATATATTGATGATAAAAATATACTTTTAAAGTATGCTATATTTATGGGTTAAAGTTTTCAGGAATAGATTAAAGAGAACAATGATATCAACACACTACTTCATGCTTAAACGCAATCTTCAGGCCATATATATATATATATATATATATATATTAAATAAAAACAGACCACTTTAAGGTTCCATGTAATAAATTATTTCACCACAGCCCTTTCTAGTTTTTCATAAACTAAACGGATTACCTAGTTTTTCATAAACTAAATTTAAAAGGGCTGTGGTGAAATAATTTATTACATGGAATCTTGAAGTGGTCTGTTTTTATTTAAATTATTTGCTCTGAATTTACATTGAGCTCTCTGGATTTTATCCTCCTTAGGTTTACCCATACGGATTACCTAGTTTTTCATAAACTATATATATATATATATATATATATATATATATATACACACACTCGACTCTGCCGTCGAATTCGACGTATGAGGGTCAAGCAGATCAGTTCGTAGGAAACGAAAGCACGACACCAGCACATGAAATTTGATTATAGTGGCTTTCACCTGGCTTTTTTGGCAGTGCTATGAAAATAGATCTACTTATGTCTTCCGGTATATCACCATTGTTGTAAATTTCATTTCATGTCTTTTTCGGACTCATCTCACTGACGAGAATCGAACCCGGACCGTTACGATACAACGCATTCATAATCGGTTTCGATTCTTGATGCACACTGCTGATGAGTCCCAAAAAGGACAAAACGACCGCCCAGTGCTTTCTGCATTCTGTTGAGGATTCATATTCTAGACTCGATGAATTATAACGTGAAATTAATTAAATCTCCGATGTGTCTTAACCTACTCGATTACGAAGAAGCTTTGCTGATCAAGGAACGCCTGATGTGTGACTTTAAGCGAAATACAGATTGTCAGAGATTTCTCAATATTATCGTATATATCAAGTTTCGTATCTAAATGTAAACAAAGTAATTTTCTAAAGAAGTAAAGGATTTTTTGTGTTTATTAATCCGACAGCTTGTTTTTTTCAGGCCGGTAGGCGAAAATAACTAAATATATTATTTAATAAATAAGCGAAGCGTCTTGTCAAATATGAGTATCCTAAAAAAATAACGTATATATATATATATATATATATATATATATATATATATATATATATATATATATATATAGGCAGCATATTTTCATTCAAAACCGGTTTGGTTTAATAAATTAACCCCTGAATATATTCCCAGATGAAATTGAAGGTATTTTGAAAAATACAAACTATTCGAAAGAAAACTTTGGTATTTTTCTTACTCAAATTTCTAAGGCTACAAAAAAGTGAATCCGAGAATTTGAAAGGATCGTAACGAAAACTAATCGACATGATATGACTAAATTATTTAACCAAACCTGTTTGAATATATGTGTATGTGTATGTGTATGTGTGTGTGTGTGTGTGTGTGTGTGTGTGTGTGTGTGTGTGTGTCAATATATGTATGTATATTGACATATGTGTGTTTATGCGCTATAGCGTTATTGTGTCCTCCCTTACTTTCCTTTTTTTCTGTAGATTTTTGTGGTTTGGTTTGTTTGTTTTTTTTTTTTTTTGTATTTTACTGTTTTATTTGATTTCCTTTTACTTTTTATTTTCCAATCCCAAGCTTACCTCTCGTTGTCATGGTCGTAATGACGTCAATTGGCTGATTTATTTGGCTTGTCAGTCGAGCTTGGGTCGATCTCACAGCTGTTCGTCTCAAAACCTCACCCACACACCACCACCGCCAACTTCCGCTCCTTATTAGCTTTGTCCATCCACGAAACCGTCACACCAACAACAGCATCAGTCCTCTTCTACACCCGGACAAATACATACAAAGATAGACCCTTACTTTTTGGTTTGGCTGCTTCGAGTTAGATTAAAAACTTGCATAAATGTAAAGTTGCTTTTCGCTCGCTTTCATATTTGGGAATCATTTTTTTTTCTTTCCCCTACCGTTACGCAATCATGTCGTCATTATTGCCGAGCTAAGTTTTATTTTACGAATAAAAGGATTGGCAGTTGCTGAGATACGTAACTAATGAGTTTGCACAAAGATAAAGTGCTCATAATACGACATCTATTCGAGCATATATATATATATATATATATATATATATATATATATATATATATATATATATATATATATATATATATATATTTAACGGTACATTTTGATGATACTCACGCTTTAACTTTTTTCGCATTAAAATTATTAACATACTCATACATACAACCATATAAAACATAAGGTGTATACATATCTATACAAGGCTAAAAAGCTTATATCTGCCCACACTAGGATTTATAGCTCCAACATTGAGCAATAGCTAGCAAGTACCTTTATATATTTTTCTCGCCACCGTTGTGGCCTTATGCCAGACAAAATTAAACTTAGTAAGTACCTATCTGCTAAACGCAAATGCGTGCGCGCACATCCCCCCCCAATACACTGAACTATAATTTTTAAACTGAAATTTAAACCTTCAAAGCAGAACTAAAAATGGCAGAGTGATACATCTAATGGTAGAAGCAGCATTCCTGGCGGTGCCATGTATTAAGGGCACTCGTAGACAAAAAGAGAAATTCTTACAAGTTAACATAATTAACCATTTATTTTATAAGAGAAAAGAATATATTGTGAATTTTTAGTTGATAATAACATTGCAAACAACGTTGTAGTTTTTAACAGCATGTTAGACCGAGTAGTCTAAAAGTAATCCAACCGTATGAACCAACGTCAAAAAGTTCTCATGAGAAAACTAATTGATAACTCTTTTGATGGACGACTTTAGTACAAAAGTTGGAACAAGGAAATATATCTGACAATATTTCTGAGATTTGGTTTTATGTAGATTATTTGCATTGTTCGGACTATCGTCCTCATCTTTGTTGCCATGTTTATCACAACGTTTCACCCATTGTACGTTCCGGTCTTCTTCAGATGGTTGGAATGTCGAACTGAACCCTTTATCTCGCTCGCTGGGGTAGACTTTTCTAGTTCCACGTGCCATGTTTAATGGATGTCAGTTATCAGTTATCTCCTGTTAATTCCCCTCTCCAAGTTCTCCACCGCCTTAACCAGTTATTGAACTCACACTCTTTGGGTCCTAACGCCTTTATCCACTGTGTCATGTGTCCTTGAGGACATCTACGTATGAATTTCTGGGTATTATAAACCTAATGTCTTCAGCAACCATTTATACCAGTGCTCATATTTCAATTTTTGCTGTTATCATTGCATTTTTTTTTACCAGAACTCATATTGTAATTTTCGTTGTTATTATTGCTTTTCTCTGGCACTCCTTATTACTGGTTCCCATATTACATTCATTTCTATGCTTGGTCAGCTCAGAAGATTTCTGTGGTCTAGCATATGTGATGATTCCTTAAGTTTCTGAATTTTCCAATGATGTTCTTTGTCTATGATTTCAACCTGATCCCACAGACGGTGGTATTCTCCCTTTTCTCTCCATAAGTGGTCAGCCTGAAGAAAACCCGAGCCTACAACGGCCGAAACCTTATGATAAATATCGCAACAAAAATAAGGACGATAGTCCGAACATTGTAAATAAGGAAATATATAATGTAAGAAAATATTTGGAATAGGGAGAGGGACTAAAGAAACGAAATATTTAATTCATCAACAGATACAAAATGAAACTGCATAGAGTTTTTCAAACACGAAGTTTCTGTAAATAGACTTTGAAAATACACAAACTGTACCGTTTTAAAGTTGCGGCCATTATAAACAAAATCGTTATGGGAAGAGATTTTACAATACTATCTTGCAGAGTCAAATTCGACTTGAAAATTAAGAGACTCAAAATGTTTCTCAGACAGAAAATGTATCCTAATAAGAAGATTACCTAATTTCAGGCAGAAATGCAGACTGATCGACATTTTGAGGAATAGCGAGAAAAATAGAGTTTCTTTGTTAACTTTAATTAAGGAAACTGCAGAGACAATCGGAAATATAAGCGAAAATAGGTATAAACAAGGGAAAAAAACAAAGTGAAAATTAAAACTGATGAAAAATAGAGAAATAAAATAGTAAATACTAAAAGAGATAAACCCGAAGATGCGGAATTAAACTAATTAGCAAAAGATGACACACGAAAACGGAAAGATGAAATTAGAAAGTTAAGAAAACGAAAAGTTTGAAACATGGTCGATTCACAATCGACAGGGATAAACTATTACTTATATTGAAAGACGGAATCGACGAATTAACAAAATGTAAGAGCAGAGTATATTATCGGTAACTGAGGAGTATTATGCAAACTTGTATCCATCGAAAATGAAAATACCATCAATACTCCCTCCTCTGGTAGATGATGTTCTTCAGGTGGTAAGCTTAAGGCCATTTAACATTGAAACAACAGTTCTCGTATGATCACCGAAGTTAAGCAGTGTCGAGCCTGGCTAATACCTAGATGGGTCACCGGTTGCGAATAACAGATGTTGCAAGCTTGGATGTGTGGGTGGTGTAGTGGATAACGGCTCGAAATTGGAAATCAAAGAGTCGAGTTCCAATTCCCGTTAACGATTTGATATCGACAAATAAAGATCGGAAAAATAAAACAAGATACAACAAATTGCTTTATTTAGCTATGGATAACTATGAAAAAGCATTTGACTCAGCAGAACAGCCGACCATCTTTAAATCACTAGGAAAGCAGCGTGTTATGAAACGTTTACTAACTAATGAAAACTTTTATTTAGAATAGATACAAAATTACTATTACCAATATCTACACAAAGACACAGGTAAAATACAAATCAGAAAAGGAGTGACATGGGGTGGGGTACTTTATTTCACCATAACTACTTAATACGAGTCTATATTTCTGAGATAAGTTATTGTAACTAGTTACACTATTTACATTGAACGGACTGTTGTCCTCATCGTTATTGTCATATTCAAGACATTTCGGTCGTGGTACAAGGCTCAGTGGATATAAATGTTGGTTGAAGTAATGCAGTGACTTGACCCAAAGAGTTGTGAGTTCAATACCTGGCCACAGCAGAGGTGAACAAAATACTTCGAAAGTTACTAAAGGGAATTAACTGAAACTGAGATATCCAGAAAAGGTATGGCACATAGAACTGGAAAACAATCTACTCCGGCGGACGAAATACATGGTTCGGTTCGAAATTCCAACGTATATTACCTGAAGAAGGCCGGAGAGTACAACGTCGTGAATATGACAATAAAGGTGAAAACAATAATCTAAATAATGTAAAAATTGTAAATAGTTACTTGAGATGAACTGGGAAGGAAAAGGAATAGCAATAAAGAGATGATATTTAAATCGCCGATAATTTGTTGGATATTTGCCTGTACAGTGTGGGCCAAGAGTAGGTTTAAAGTTGTTTCACTATTTGTTTAACGTTTTAGATCCAACTTCGCCGAACTGTTCTTTCAGGAAGGCGGAGTACCTCACCATTATGCTTTGGCAGTAAGGGACTACGTTAACCAAATCATACACACACACACACACACACACACACACACACACACACACACATATATATATATATATATATATATATATATATTTTAAAAACCTCTTGACAAGTGAACCGAAAGATTACAAAAAGTTCGTATGCGAAACTCCGGAGATGGAGTGTTGAATATCAATCAGCCTAAGTGACAAATATATATATATATATATATATATATATATATATATATATATATATATGTGTGTGTGTGTGTGTGTGTGTGTGTGTGTGTGTGTGTGTGTGTGTATAAATATAAATAAATATCTATATATATATATAATTATTTATATATTATATGCGCGGTACTTATTAGAAAGCGCTCAATATCAGAACTAGATTCTCGAAAGCCTGTGAATGTCTGGCATTCAGATCTTCTCCACAAGTTAAATTACGGACACTTTTTTGAACTGATCCAGTCTTTCCTATCAAATCGGGAAATAAAAGTTATACTTAACGGCCACTCGCCTATATCCTTTCATACTAACGCACGGCTCCATCTTTGGTTCTACTCTATTTTTAATTTTCACTAATGACCTTCCTGATGGTATCACCTCTCAACTTCGTATCTACGCTGACGACACAACCATTTACTCCTGTCTTACAAATTCAAAATGGCAGCCAATGTCCAAAACGACCTCAACTCTGTAGTTAACTGAAGCAAAAGATGACTTGTCAATTTTAACGCCTTCAAAACTGTTGTGGATTCCGGGATGAAATCCGGTACCAATAAATAACAAACGCCAGCAATGAATATATAAAAAATAATGTATTAATGTAATAATATAAACTGGTAATGCAGGTTAGTAGTTCCAGGAATGCGGGTTAGTAGCAAAATATCTATACAGTCTTTGGTATTGAAGTATCGCTGTATGACTTCTTACTGAGTCTACGTGCTCGCTCACGGTGACTCTTCCTCGCTACGTTCGTTCTGTCTGTCTGCCTTTCACCTTCACCCTCTGTTGCTCTCGTCTTGTCTCTCGAGTTTTCACGTAGCAGTAGTATATGTATATATTGGGTGAGTCCATTTGTGTAAAAAAGGGAGGACCCCTCAACAAAAACTAAACCGTCCTGGGTATGACTATAAACTACAACGCGTCCTGTGTAAGACGATAAACTACGTCCATCAGCAAGGCCTCTGATCAGGAGGTTTTGAGGAGCGTGGAACCACCTCTTAATTGCTGGTGTTCCCAGGTCCACCCTGACTCAGGGTGGTAGAACCTGTTAGGGTCCCAGCTATGGGCAAATAGTTAACACCCAAACTTGTGTAAAAATAGGTTTTAATACCAGAAATACTTTGTAATAAAAAATATTATTACCAGTTATAATTTTTGAAGGAAAAATTATTATTAGCAATACTTTAAAAAAAATACCAGCAATACAAACAGTTATATATTCTTTGAAAAAAATATGACCAGCTTTCGATTTCTTCAAGGAAAAATGTTCCCAGAGATAGATTTTAGAGAAAACCATTACCAGCAATAAAAATTTTTCCGGCATTAAATAACCCATTGAGGTTGATATGTCGTAAAACAAACCAAACCAAACCAAAACTAAACTTCTCTCCATTAATTATCTGAGAAACCCCTCTCTGCTTTCTATCAACATGGCTGTTGCTATCCTCCAGGAAAGTGGTACGTTACGCATTCTAGGGCTCAAGTTATCTGCTGATATGAAGTGGAAAGGCTATGTTGAATCCATTGTTAGATCACCTCTTGAGAAAGTCGGTTCTCTATGTCAGGCGAGGCATTATTTTTCTCTCCAGAATGTATCTTACATATCTATAAGTCTACCATTCGTCCATTTTTTACAATATTGCTGCCATATATTGCCCAGTGCCCCTGCCATTTACTCTGGCGGCTCAGCTCCAGTCATTTTCCTACCACCGTAAGTTTACCTCTCTGTGTCTTTTCTATAAATACTTTCAAAGTAATTGTCCGAATGAGCTCTTCGCTATGGTACCTAGACTTTACGAATTTAAGCGCAGTACTAGACTGTCGTCAATATCTCATCAGTTTACAGTTAACCTAGCTAGATGTAGCCGTAAGTTCTATGCTAACAGTTTCTTCACTTGCTCTTCTCACTTGTGGAGCTCCCTTCCGTTTCGATGATTTCCAGCCAACTTTAATCTGCAAAATTTAAATGCAATGTCCATCGCTATTTACTGTTCACCTAATTACTCTCTTCTCTTTCTGTTCATCATTAATATTTCTGTTCCTAATTCTTCCACACCCAGTAACACTTGTATTTTAGTGGCATTACTGCCTTGGTGATTCCGATTTTAAAAAAGTTCAGAGGAAATTTTTTCGAAGTTAAACGGTGGAAGAATATTTTCAAAGCTGGATCTCTCTGAAGCGTATTTACAAATTCAGATTGAAAATGAATGTCCAGAATTAACGACCATAAATACGCACAGAGGATTATATAAGATTATCCGACTTCTTTTTGGTAACAGGTATTTTTTAACAAGCTATGGATACTATGCTTGTGGATAGCGATGTCGCAATGGCGTAGATGGACGACATTTTAATCATGTGTATCTAAAGAACATATAGGGTATGTGAAAACAATTTTAGAAAAACTAAGAGAGTACGGGTTCAAGCTCAGTGAAGAAAAATGCGAATTGTTTTGACGAAAATTAAATACCTTGGTGAAAATATTGATAAAAATGTTCGTCAACCAGATCCGTCGGGGACAAGTTCAATTAAAAATATGCCTTCGCTAATAAACGTGATTACAAGTTTTTCTAGGACTGACTAATCACTATCAAGTATATATACATAATATGCATAATTTGAGAGCTCCACTGAACGATATACTTAAAAAAAAAAACACGAGTAAAGTAGAACTGGAATAATAACTGTCAAAAGGCGTTTGACGAAATAAAAATAAAAAAAAACTTACCTCAGATTTATGATTATCACCCTACGATCCAAAAGCAGAAATTGCAGTGGCGTCAGATGATAGTGAGTAGGGTGTTGGAGAGATGATTTTGCACAAATACGATGGCGGTAAAAGGAAATCCTTCGCTCATGTTTCACGCTCGTTTCTACCAGCAAAGAAAAGTTACGACCAGATAGAAAAAGAGACTAGCAATTATATTTGCCGTGAAGAAATTTCACGAATTTATTCATGGAAGAAATTTTAGGTTGTAAACAGACCACAGACTCTATTGACAATATATGTTTAAAAAAAAAGGAATAACTACGCATACAGCTAATAGACTACAAAGCTGGGGTACCATCTTATTAAACTATGATCGAGAACCAAGTGTCTAAAAAATGCAGGTGGATTATCAAGATTAATACCTAAAAATGCTGAAACATTTGATGACACGGTCATTGTAGCACTAAATGGCTAAATCGAAATAAAACATTTTGTGCAACGTAATTCGAGACGTACTTCTTCGTAAAGATAGCTAAATTATATTATCTGGTCACTTCTTTATTTCGACATATATTCAGAGCAAGATCATTCGCAAACCCTACCACGAATTTTAAAGGGTGTTCCAATAACTTGGACAGATTTTAAATGTGAATTAAGTTTAAAACCGGTCCAAGTTATTTATTTGATGTCTTTGATTTATTTGATTATTTCCATGTTGGCTATTATACTCATCTTTGTTATTGTTATCACATTTTGGCCCAATATTTACAAAGTTGATACACCATTAAGACTGATAATAAGCCACAGAGATTCGGCATGCTAGTCCAATTCTGAAGATTCCTAATGGATATAGTGAAAAAGCTAACACGGAATTCCGCGTCATATGTGAAGAACTCAGAACACATTTGAATCGAACCAAAGGGTTATCGATTCATAGCAATTTGATGGGAGGCATGTATGCAGTGAGCAGGTTCACCAGAGTTCCTACGGATGAAGTTCTATCAGTGGTTCGAAATCGATTTGAATTGGAACCCTTCCTTGGAGAATGTACTAACATCCCGATAGATGACCTGATGGAAA